AACTGCCTGTTTGCTTTTCACCATCCATTTCTTTCTTTTTGGTGCTGAGAAGGCCTATTTAAACGACTAAGCTAACAGTGCCACACACAGCATGTTAGTGTACGGTGTACCCCGTAGGTGTAAGAACTCGGCTTTGTTTTAGCCTTGTGCTTGAACAAAAGCTTCTTCTTTGTTGGCCTCCCAAATGTTCCTTGCCTTTATGCAGAAACACATTAATTTTGAAACAAAATAAATTATGTACCTTTTGAAAAACAAAATTAAAAGAAAAACCCTACACGTAAACACACATTTGCACAATGAAACTGACATTACCCTGCTCCTTCTTCCACGTAATGAAACTGACATTACCCTGCTCCTTCTTCCACGTGTCTCAGAGTTATAGCCAACACCTGTGGCCACACAAGGGGCAGACTTGGCAGCTGCAGAACCCAGATGTCAGACACTGGGTTGTACGTCCCTGGCAGCAGTCCTAAGTGGGAGGCCGTCTCCTTAACTGACCTCTGAAATGGTCTATTGTCTGACTCCCTCTCTGGTCTGGGGAGTAACTAACAAGCTGTCTGTGGGGCTGGTTCAGAGTTAGCGTACTGATGGGGTGTTCTGGATGCAATTATCCTATGCCTTACCTTTGATTGTAAGGAATTTATTTCCTTTGTTGGGGTGAAAATTGAGACTGGGCAAATTCTTGACAAATAACTATATTCAGGTTTCTTCCAAGGAGAAAATAAGACGCTTTTTGCTTCGATTGATTTTCTTATCCCTAACTGAAACTGGATGAGATCAGCTTTATGTTTTAGCACATAGTGAGTTTTGGTTAATCAGAAGTAAAAGTAAGAGTTTCCTGGGCACTTCCCCCCTCCGAAAGAAGAGTTTCCTTACACTGCGTCTTAAGACTACTTCTTGAAGGTAGTAAAGGAAACATTTCTTTCTTTAGAAACTTAAGGAGCTACAACTTTGTTATTGCTATTACTAAAAAAGTCTTATCCATTGTAGAGAAGAGCTCTTTGTATCATGAGTTATCTTGGTTCTTTAAAGAGGAAAATGATTACACTATAACCTTGCCTCCACACCACTTGCTGAAGAATGACAATATGTATAAGATGCAATCATTATGGGAATGAGAGAGGAAAAGGCCAAGTATCTAAGAGCACTCCACTTACAATGCAACACTCGTAGCCCTACAGGGAAGGTCTATTGTACAAACTGCATGTATAGTCATGGCAAGTTAAGGAGAAATACATCTGATATTTACAGTAAGATGAATTCTGAGGAAATTATAGAATGTATTATCATATCCAACATCAAATGGTATTTGTCTGCACCACGTAAGATGTTCCAAATTTTCTTTATTAACTTTTACAAAAATGTAAATATGTCTCTTGGCCACTACTGATTTAGATTTGGGAAAAAAAGACTGAATATTCATGAGTCCCAATATAAATAAATGATAAATAAATAAGTAAATTAGAAGAAACATCTCTCATACAGAGGAATTTCAAATAATTTATGTGCTACTCACCCCTCAAGGAAGCGGAGCTTAATTCCCTACCTCTTGGGTATGGGCTATACTTCATGATTTAATTCCAAAGAGTAGAGTAAAATAAAAAGGGGGTGGGGGGAGAGTTACTTACAGTAGAGAAACCTGGAGAACATTACCTTGGCAGGTGATAGAGGTTAGCATCAGCAGTGATGTTATGTTGATAGCATGTACCCTTGATACAATATGATCTCATCGAAGGGCACTTCATCTTTGTAATCTTCCAGAAACCCATAACCCTAGTCTAACCATGTGAAAACACTAGATAAACCCCAACTGAGGGACATTCTACAAAATATCTGACCAGTACTCCACAAAACTGTTATCGTCATCAAAAACAAGAAAAGTCTGAGAAACTGTCACAGCCAAAAGGAGCCTAAGGAGACATGATGACTAAATGTGATGTGTTATACTGGATGGGATGCTGGAAGAGAAAAAGGACATTAGGGGAAAACTGTGAAATCTGAATAGAGTGTGGACTTTAGATAATGGAAATGTTGTTGTAGTTGATTAGTTGTAGCAAACGTACTGGAGTAACGGAAGATGTTAACAATAGGGGAAACTGGGTGAGAAGTATACAAGAACTCGGCACTATTTTCATAACTTTTCTATAAATCCAAAACTTCTAAAATAAAACATTTATTTAAATTTAAAAAAAGATGATTAACATATGGCTATATTGACTATAACAGAGTTCCTATGCATCAATCAATACATCTCTTTCTTTTTCTCTTTTTCACCTGCACCTATCCACCAAACCATATGGCATAAAGAGTCATTTTCCTGACACTTAAGAACACTTTATCGGGCCGGCCCCGTGGCTTAGCGGTTAAGTGCGTGCGCTGCGATGCAGGCTGCCCGGGTTCGGATCCCGGGCGCACACAGACGCACTGCTTCTCTGGCCATGCTGAGGCCGCGTCCCACATACAACAACTAGAAGAATGTGCAACTATGACTTACAACTATCGCTTGGGGCTTTAGGGGAAAAATAAATAAATTAAAAAAAAAAAAGAACACTTTATCTTTCAGGTCAATCTAGTACAAATGGAGTCAGACATATTCTGAGAGTTTTTTATTTCCCAATAATATTTAGGTCATGCCCTTAGTAATATGACACAAATGCTCAAAGGACAATGTACACAAACCCATATTTGTCAACAGTTTTAAAAGATGTAACATCCTTCAACCACCTATCCAATACACTTATACTTCATGTGAATGTTATTAATGACATGATTAATAAGACAATGTATTAATCTCTGAAAGTAACCTACTCTTTGCTAGATTACTGAGTGCAGGTTCACTTATTGATCAACTGTTGTCATGAGAAGTAAAGCAAGGTCTGAGGTACCACTGTTTTAGAACATGTGAGGTTATTCTTTGCTACTCCATATCTGTCCCTTAGAATTACAGGAAATCAGGTCTCTGGGAATTTTAGAAGAGATTTCTTTCATACTGATTTCAGTTTATCATTTTACTTTGAGAAAGGGGAAAAAAAGTGGTGTCGATGAATGTTTACTTTAAAAAAATATTGTGGGCTTCTACAATTGTTAACAAGAAATGTACTTTTGTTAACATTTAATGGTATAATTTTAAAAGTTCAGTTAATCAAAATTTAATTAACCATAATGATAAATTGGTCAGAATTGCCTCTCTAATTCTGTTTTTAGGAAGGGATACAAATGCCATTAAAGAAAGCTGAAAAAGAATACATGCAACTTCCTTAATATATTTTAGGGTTAAAAATAAGATTCAGTAAAATCACTGGTACATTCTATACCTACAGCACCTCACAATGATAACTTGTATTAAGGAAAAGGATTATGATGGTTGATAGAGAAAAAAGGTGTTTCCTATGGAATTCTTAACTAAGGAATTGCAGAAGAGTCAAGCAACATATTTTAGGAATATTTTTCATACTGAGGTATTTAATGTGGAAAAAAATGGGTGGGAGGGATGTATAATAAATGTAGGTAGCTATGTTTTAGATTACTCTTGAAGCAGTTCAGTTAATATGCATTTGGTATTTCATTAGACTATTGTGTGTGTGGTTAGTAATGAGGATTATGACAGCTTCCTTTCCCAGAACACCTATGGTGTGTCAAGCTTTATGCTGCCAGGCATTTGAGATACACCATCTAAAACCCAACACAACCCTGCAAGGTGCGTACAATTACTACTGAACAAGCCAGGGAACTAAGGACATCAGAATTTAGGGGACTGACTCAAAGTCTCACAGCTGGTAGGTGAGGGAGCCATTACACATTCTTTTGGGCTGCATCAAATGCCTGAACTCTTTCCCCAGAGCATACAGCTTTGTTATAATTTATATTATAATTAGTAACACTAGTAAAGTAAATATTTATTTATCACTAACTAGGTGACTTAAAGCATTTAACCTTTCTAGGCTTCAAGTTTCTCTTGGATAAAATGGAGTTGGCTGGTTGATTTCTAATGTTTCTTCTAGTTTTAAAATAGTAACATTGATTTTTATATAGGATAAGAAAATTAAAATAGCCATTTTCATAATGTTTTTATTAAAAATAGGTCATTTAGTAAGGTCACTGGCCCTTACTAAATTTTGTGATGATGGGGATCTATCTAGAGATGTTCATGTGATTTCTCCCAAATCTCTCCAGTCCTATTAAGCCAGGACTAGTGATCCTGCCATTTTTCAATGTTATTTCTTAAAACTTACCTATAAAAGGAAATTTCTTACTTTTCTCTGCACTACAGAAACTATATATTTAAATCTTTGCCTCCCAAAGAATTAATCACTTGCATTCAGGTATCAATAATGCAAAGAAAACCATTTTTCTGGATCTAAAAATAATCAAAATATCAGTTTATTTTAATTCACATTTATTTAAATATAACAATTTTTTGTTGACAAATGAAAATACTTATAACCATATTTATAACAAGTTAGACATAAATATAAATGAAATGTATAAGTATTTTAGACAAAATTTAACAGATCTTAGACAAATTGATGACATGTTTACATTTAGCTTTAAGGTACATTAACATGGATATTGAAAACGATGTGCTTTTACAAAAACTGCTATAAAATGTTCACATTTGCATTAGTAATAAGTCACATTTCCTAGACTGATGTTCTATGAAAACTATGTAAAGATCTAATTTAATCATTCACCTCATATGGTAATATTATTGGTAAGTGAAACATTTTTGTCAATAGAAATGTTCATTTAACTTTTAAATAATATAGCTTTTTTTTTTTAAAGATTTTATTTATTTATTTTTTCCCTCCAAAGCCCCAGTAGATAGTTGTATGTCATAGTTGCACATCCTTCTAGTTGCTGTATGTGGGACGCGGCCTCAGCATGGCCGGAGGAGCGGTGCGTCGGTGCGCGCCCGGGATCCGAACCCAGGCCGCCAGCAGTGGAGCACGCGCACTTAACCACTAAGCCACGGGGCCGGCCCAATAATATAGTATTTTTAACAAGACCATGCTACATTTATTAATAAAACATGCATAACACATTAAAACTTGAATAGTTCAGGTATCTTTATGCACAGTTTTTAGTTTGGCTATGGCACTCTTTGAAAAATATACTTAAAATTTGGCACAGAATTAATAAATTGTATTGCTCCTAATCAAAATAAGTGTGATTTACATTTTCCATGGTATAGAAAATACTCTATCACAATTTACCTCTTCCCTTTACAGTTTATTGACCAATGGCAGTTCTTTTCTGTTTTAGTTGAAATAAATAATGGATATTCAAGAACTGAAAGTCTTATCTAGGTGTTTTGCCCAAACTCTACTTGGAAATGAGTTAATTTCAGTTTCTCTAGCAGTAAAACATTTCCATCTGCAGTGTGGGCAACAAATTTCTAAATAAGGGTGTCATCAGCAATAATATGTATCGTCACAAGATGTTTTTCTTTAGGAGGCAGAGAGGTTACAAGGAAATGCGTATCTCTTCAGAAACCGGGAACATAGCAAATGCCAACTGAGGCAAAAGCAAGAAAATTCTTTGGAAAGCTGGTGAGAGAGCACACTCTGAAGTAGCAACAAAGCAGAAAACAAAGGCAGGAACACAGGACTCACTTAAGGTGGAAAGGCCTACCATGGGTTTACAGAAACTGAAATGTATCACTCAAAAGAAACAGCATCCAGAGCACTTGGAGCATTCTTGTATCAGCAAACTACCACTGCTTATTAGGAAAAGTTTTAAATGGCCACATCAATCTCTAAATCAGGATTGAAGAAATTAAGCTAACTGGCAATTTTTTTTCTGAATTCAGTCATAAACACTGTGGAAGAAGAAAGGGAATGACATTAATTCGAGCTTGCTCCAAACCAGAGAAGAGAATTCACACTCACTCTAAGCGTCTACTTTAGAGCTGTGGTAACTAAGAAAAATGCCACAGTTCTTTTCACAGTTCTTCTAAGATACAACACAGTTCTTCTAAAGGTGTTATATTTTGAGAGATCGGTTGAAGGAATCAACTCCTTTCATAAAACCTTGATAGCCTAATTTTTATATTTATTATTTGGAGGAAAGGAAGTAGAACTTAAGTTCAATTTTTATACAAATATACTTTATTCTAAAAAATAGAGCAATGAACATAAGGTTGTTTTCTTTGCTTTATGATCCTTGCTTTTCTGAGGGCCTTTAAACAGTGAAATGGCAACATCAAACAGGTTAAATAACATAGGCAAACTTTTGTTTTAAAGCTGTTAAGATACAAACAGACGAAAAGATTAGGAATCACAGAGCACTGAATTTTCAAGAGTGAAATCATACCAAAACCGTGATAAGTTTTCGCTGACGTCATAGGAGAGTAAGTGGTCTGGAAGGTCACTGATGGTGCCCTGCACAGCCAGCACATGCGGGGCCAAGGTGAAGGGTACGTCGCTCAGAAGCTCGGCCATTAATGAGTTGTTTTCCAGAGTCTGGCCTGCCTTATTTTCCATCTCGGGGCCTGCTACAACCACACTGGATGAGTTTTCTTTGCCGGTCTAAAAATACATATATATTTAAGTCATTTAGACCTTATGGACTTCAAAGTTTAGTAACGGTAAATGTGGCATTAATATATCAAAATGATTGAGAAATGCGGACTATATATATATTCCCAGATTAGACTGCAACTATTTACTTTACTTGAGAAATACATACATTTAAAATGAATCCTAAACCCTACTCTTACTCAGATTGACCACCCACGGACCCCTCAGATACAAACTGGCCTTCTTACTAGTTCCCTCACCCAGATGATGTCTACAAAGTCTGTCTCTGCTTTTCCAAATCCAACGTATGCTTTCAGGTTCTACAGAATTCCCAGCTTCCCTGTGAAATCTTATATCAACATAGTCCGAAGTGATCTTGCCCACTTCAGACCAATTACGGGGCAAATTGCCTAGGATGTTATTTGGCATTTTCTAAATGTGTCCTTGCTAGTTGCTATTTCATATGCATATGTCTTATCCCCAACTAGACTCGGGTCCTCAAGGGCAAGCAATCCATTTGACGTATCTTTGTGTTCTCCACTTTGCATACTTGACTGCTTTCCCCTAATATGTACTTGAGAATTTACCCTAATGTGCACCATAAGTATTGACTGATTGCCTTACTTTCACTGGAACTAACATGTTATGTTATGTAAGTTATTCAGATAAGAAGAATTGATATATCTTGTTCAATTTCTTTAAAATTCATACATCTTGCATACAGTAGTTTACCAAAAGGCATGTGCTAGGATGTTCGTAACAGCACTCGCTGCAAGTCCATAATTGGAAACTACCTAAGTATCCATCAATAGTAGAATGGATAATAAACTGAAGTATATTTACAGCAATGAGAATGAATGAACTGCCACTGCAAGAGGCTGAAACCTAACTCAAACCAGCTTAGGCAAAAATTTACTCCCACACCCCTACCCAGTCTCATGCAGAATAAAACCCTGGTCTTTACAGAGGCCTACAAGGCCCTTCAAGCTCTGGCCCCCCAGTACCTCTCTGACTTTCCAGCTAGTCTGTCCCGGCTCACTCCTCTCCAGTCCCACTGCCTCCTTGCTGTTACTGGGGCGCACCCAGCCTGCTTCTACCTCAGGCCTTTGCTTTCCATTCCCTCTGCCCAGGAGGTTCTTCTCTCAGATATACACAGGCCTCCTTCCCTCACCTCCTTCCAAGTGTTGGCCTATATGTCACCTTTTCTACTTGAGGTCTTCCCTGACCACCTTATCCACACTGTATCCTCCCCCTCGCCTCCTCCACTCCAGCACTCTCTATCTCCTTCTCTTGCTTTTTCCCTTCTCTATAGCCTTTATGTTATATAATTTATTCTGATTATCATCCCTTGGAAGCTTAAGGAGTTTTTGTCTCTCATGTTCCCTGTGGTTTCCCAAATGCCCAGATCAGTGTCCAGTGCTCAGTAAATATCTGTCAAGTGGATGAAAGCAGAAAAGATTTTTGCCTACTTGGGGCTTACATTATAATGGTTATAAATGCTGATGAATTCTTTATCTCGAAGTCCAGAGGGCAATAATTTTCTGTGTAAGAACTAACAGTTTTGTAAAACTTTTCATTGAAGTGTAACATACAGAAAAGGGTACATCGTAAGTGTACAGCTTGCTAAATTTTAACCAACTAAACACCTGTGAGCAACCGGCACCCAGATCAAGAAATAGAAACGACCAGCTCCCGCAGCAGCCCTCCTGGTGCCTCTTTCAGTCACAATCAATGCCCTGCCCCCTCAATCACCATTCCGACTTCTAACATCACAGATTAGTTTTACCTATTTTTGTATTTTAAATGAAGATAATCATACATTATGCACTCTTCTGTTTCTGGCTTCTTTCACTCAAATTATATGTATGAGATTCATCCATATTGTTGCATGTGGGATTAAAAATATTTTTGAAGAACATGTCGCAGAGAGAGACATTCTGACTGTCTTAAAGGAATCACTTTGATTGCTGTGTTGACAGTAGACAGTGGGGAGTATGGTGACCAGAGAAGGAAGCAGGAAGACCAGCTGGGAAGGAGAGGTGATTGTGATGTGGATTAGGGTTGTGATAGTAAAGATGAGACAAAATGGTTGGATTTTGGATAGACTTGAAGGATAAAACGAATAGGATTTGCTGATGGAATGGATGGTGGGGTATGAGAGCAAGAGCAGAATCAAGGAGGAAGCCAAAGTTTTTGGACAGAACAGTAAGGATGGAGTCTCCACTTACAGGGATGGGAAAAGTGTGTTGGGGAAGCAGGCTTGGGCAGGAAGATCAAGAGTTCAGTTTTGGGGGCCGGTGGTGCAAGTGGTTAAGTGCACGCGCTCCACTGCGGCGGCCCGGGGTTCCCAGTTTGGATCCCGGCCGCGCACAGACGCACCGCTTGGCAAACCATGCTGTGGCAGCGTCCCGTATAAAGTGGAGGAAGATGGGCATGGATGTTAGCCCAGGGCCAGTCTTTGTCTGCAAAAAGAGGAGGATTGGCAGATGTTAGCTCAGGGCTAATCTTCCTCACAAAAAAAAAAAAAAAAAAGACTTCAGTTTTGGATGTTCCAAGTGCCTAACAGACATCCAAGCGGATCTGTTAGTAGGTAGGGGAATATAATTTGAGTCTGGAGCTGGGTGAGATCTAGTGGAGAAAGTCTGCTTGGTGTGTGTTTAAAAGAGGATGGGAGGAAAGAAAGTGAAGACAAATGTGAGAACAGACAATTTTTTGTAGATATTATGCTGTAAATGAGAAAAGAGATATGGGCCAGTAGCTAGAAAGGGATGTGGGGTCAAGGGAAGTTTCTCTTGATTTTTGTTTTTTAAGCTGGGAGAAACAATGGTAGTTTATATGCTAATAAGAAGAAGACTTTAAGAAAGGAGAACTCCATGGAGATTCTATGGAGAAGGAACTGCTCTCTTAACAAAGCATCCTCCAAAACAAAGCATCCTCCAATGTCTAGAACAGAGGCCATCAAGAAATATTTGTTTAGTGAATGACTTCAAATTAATGAAGTTACCAAACACATCCCTGCCAAGAGTTGTCATAACTTCACGTGAAAATAAAACACCAGAGTACTTTCTTAGGACTGAACTAGAACAAATGTAACCACATCCTGTTATGACAAAGCTTATTAGAAAGGTCCATGTAGGCAATGGACAGAACCTGCCTCCTGAAACCTGACTGGGACTTAAATACTAAGTATCCCTGGGTCTATGGAGAGCACTGATATCAGTGAGGAATGATGATTCCAGCCTCTTGAAAGGGCATCACCACACACTGGTTTCCTCAAGATTATGTATGCACCAGGGCTTTGGTTACCATGGAGCAGCCTGGCAGAGTGTTTAAGAGCACAGGTTCTACAGCTCGATTGCTTGGGTGCAAATCCAAGGTTTCCTGCTTATTAATAAGCAAATGGCCTTGGGCAAGTTATTTAACATCTCTATGCCTCAGTTTCCTTAGCTGTCTTATGAAATCAATAATAGTACCTATTTCATAGGATTGTTACAAGGATTAGATGAAATAATGTTCATAAATAGGCAGAATAATGCTTAGCACATGTTAAAATATGTGAATAAATAAAAACTTTAGGAATGTCAGATCCCACTTGGCTTTAGATAAAGTCTAGGATCCATCTGTCTCTTGTTTTTGACATTCACTGGTGGTTCAAATAATCTTACCTTCCCCTCTCCTCTTCTATCTTGCCTTCTCTCTTATCTCACGTGCAAATGTTCCCTAGATCTGTTAGTCTCATCTCATACTTGAACCTTCTTCTCTTTCTTCCTTGTGCACAGAATGTTCTCCAGTTTCATTAGCCAAATCATCTCCTTTCTTAAACAAAAGCATTCTTGAAATCTCACCTTCTCCACTAAAGAGGAGGTATATTACTTGTAGCACTTTGCTTCCTAAACACACAACTTCTAAGGTTTATCTCTCTGGCAGCAACATTTATTCTTTTGTTCATGCTTTTATTAATCCTCTTTTCTTTGCTTTACGAATCATTCTTGTCTGTCAGAGCATAATTCCTTGAGGAAAAGACTATGTCAAACTGTATCTAGGATAATAAAGGAATTGAGTGCTGTGGTTTCTTGCTCCAAGTCTCCTGATAACACTGCCATATGGCTTGAAGGGAGCTGCTTCATCCACCCGGGCCTCAGTTCTCTATTCTATGAAATGGGTGGTGAGGGACAAAAGATGATGATGAAGACGACGACAACGACGACTAGCATAGATCGAACACTTACTTTGTGCCAGGCTCCATCTAAGCTGTTTAAATGTATTCACTCATTTAAGTCTTACAACAGCTCTGTGGGGTGTGTACTATTATTAGTCCCATGTTAAAAACAAGAGGACATTGAGGAACAGAAGGTTAAGGAAGTTGTTCCAGGTCACACAGCTAGTCTGTGGTAAAACTGAGAACTGAACCCAGTGCTCTTTAATGCTCTATATTCTAAGATCCCGCACGCTTTAGACATGCTTTGAATAGACTGGCTGACTAAACAAAGCCTTGAAAATTTAGGGGCCAGTATGAGAAAAAAATGACAGTTACTAACATAGCATATCTTGGCTTAATTTAGAAGAAAAAAAGACTCGTAATACCTTTTACCTTTAGGAAGAAAGGACTGAGAAAACGATTAAGGTGACAGATCTGAGATTGAAGAAGGATGGAAAAGCAACCGTAATTTAAGAGATGCTTATCCCTGGGAATGAATCTCCCAGTAGTATGGATAAACCATGGGGCAAACACCAAGGACAGTGAAACAAGATCGTCTATGAGGTGAACATTATCAAGACGGAGAGATAGGAAGGTACATAGGAATGCACTACAGTATCCTATCTACCTTTGTATATGTTTGAAAATTTTCCACAATAAAAAGTTTCCAAAAATTAGCTTAAAAAATACCACGGACAGGCCGGCCCCATGGCTTAGCGGTTAAGTGCGCACGCTCTGCTACTGGCAGCCCGGGTTCGGATCCCGGGCGCGCACCAACACACCACTTGTCTGGCTGTGCTGAGGCCGCGTC